GAATGGCTACCCAATAGGGTGCAGGTGTGGTTCGGATCACTGACTAACCACCTGGGAGATGTACCTGAGATCACCTTCATAATATATGTAGTTTCTTATAAAGAAAATAGACAAACACAAGATTGCACCACATCCTTAGTCCACAAAATACTTTCACATATATACTGTCTCATGGGAGTCCCTCACAGTGGAGCCAGTGGCCACTATTATGTCATCCTACAACACCAAGGAACCCACACTGTATTCTTCCCCAAAGTTTATATACCTCTGCAGTAACTGGTCTTGGTGAACACTGGCCACTCTAGGTCCCAGTATCCTCACCTATCAGAAGTGTCTGGAATTGGTTAGAGGGGTGGGTGTAAGGTTTAATGCCCCCTGAGTCTTCAAATAGCAGGCCTGTGGCCAGAAGACAAGGATGACAATACCAGGCCCACAATATTTGAATATTCTTTCATGTACCAATTAATCTAGAAAGCATTTCCTAAGTGCCTACTATTCACTAGACTCAGTGCCCGCTCCAAGGAGTAAGACAGTATGCTGCTCCTGGAGAAACAAGGAACTAGACAAGCTCAGTATGAGGGCAGAGTCAGGACTAGACAAAGTTACGTCGGAGTCCTGTGGGTTCTCAGTGAGAATGGAGGAAGTGACTTCCAAGCTGAGGCCCCAACATCTAACCCATAAGCAAAGTCAGCTTGGTGAAGACAAAGGCCAGAGCGGTTCCAGGCTGAGAGGGCAAGAACCTCTCTCTGACATCATTTGATGTTTATAACATAACAATTATATGACTTTACAAGCATCTAGGCTCAGCTTTGATCTCAGACTTTCCTTTCCCACCGCCCCACATTGCCATTTCTTCCAAAGTCTACATTTCAGGAACATATAGGCTTCATGGGTGAGGCCCTGAAGCTGGCTGAGGACAGAGAAAGAAGGTAGGTCCAGATTGTGCATGGTCTTCTAGGTCACACAGCCATCATTTACTAGATCTCTCTCTCTCTCTCTCTCTCTCTCTCTCTCTCTCTCTCTCTCTCTCTCGTGTGTGTGTGTGTGTGTGTGTGTGTGTGTGTGTGTGTGTGTGTCTTTATTCATCTCCCTCCACCATTCCCCAATACATCATGATAGTAGACAGAGGCAAAATGGTTATTGACCTCTTTAAACCTATTTGAAAATGAAGTTTTACAAGACCCAAACACAAGGAAACATTCCCTGCCCCCTCTGCTTGAGCTTAAGTTAGTGGCTGCTGTGATGCTCTTTGATTTGAAAACTCCAATCCCACCCTCTGCCCGCACTAATCAGCAGCTTGTCAGAGTGGGGAGGATGAGGTTCTGCCTTCTTTGAAGTCATTAACTACCTTCTGGGTTCATCCTCAGGGACATATGCTTGCCCTTTGAACCCTCAATTCATGAGCTGCTATTTTTATTCTCGGTACATACATAGCCAGGGCTTCTAATACCTGCTCCTGCAGCAACAATGCCCAAGGCATCATGCTATATCACTAACACCTTGTCCACATCTGACCAAGAGCTGTAGGAGGGTATTGGTTGGTAGGTTGAACAAAGAGAGGAGGGAGGTGTAAGTTCCAGAGAAGAAGAGCCTTTCTGGGATGTGGAAAGGTGGATAATAGAAGCTGTTTGTATTTTCTTAACCTGGATATCCCTGAGAACAGTGTTATGCCAGGTAGAGAGTAGCAGAAACAGCCTGTCTTAGCAGGCCAGTGGCCCTCCAAAGAAACAGATGGAGTTATTCCCAGGCAATCTTTGGCTGAGAACTCTGATGGTAAGGAAGGTGGAAGTGAGCCTTTATCCACTGACTTTCTTTTTCACTCCAGAAATACTTCAGATTTATTTCCTCCACCTACACTCTGGCCTGGCCTCCATGCCATTTAGTTTGTCATATCTGTTTCCAGAAACAAGGAGGCTCCAGAAAAGGACCTGAATGTTTCCCTGTCGCTTCTGTGTCCCGAGGACAGGTGGGTACTGCATAGTTGGCTGGGAGACGCCTTGCCATCAGCCCTCTAGTGCATCACCATAGCCACTTCAGGCTGCTCTCCCCAAGAACAGAAACTCCAGCGAGGACGAGCTACACTAGAGCCCCTGTGGAGAATCTAGACTGATGACAGATTCATGAATTGGCTGGAAAACACCTGGCCTCTACTTTGAGTAGGTCTTATTCTGAAGTAGTCTTTGCTGCTGCAGTCCTCTGCAGGTACACCACGTAGTCCATGTTGAAGTGGAGGCTATGTGGATTCTTCTTGCCAGAAATCAAAACACAGAGAGGAAGCCTGGGACTGGCCTGGAATTCTAATTCCAGTCTCAGGGTATACTTAAGCTGGTTATTTGACTTCACTGTGGAATTAATTTCCCTGTTGACAAAATGGGCATGCTTCTAGTCCTCTGAAAAGGACATCTCAAGGACTGAGTCATGCAATGGAAGTTCTTGGGAGATGGTGAAACAAAGAAAATATGCAACTGCTCCATATCTTGCTGTCTGTGGGAGGCACCCAACCTTGGATAGGTCCCCTCTTCATGGCCTGATCAGGAACATGCTGTAGAAGATAGCAGGCCTGTTGGGGTAGAGGCCTCTGGGAATTACCCTCCCCTAGCAAGGTCCCCTCCTCTTACCCTGATCAGGATAATTCTGCAAGAGGTAGCAGGCCTAGATCAGAGCCAGCTAGGGGGAACAAGGTAAGGTTCCAAGAAACTGTGAGGGTTAGTACTTGAGCTGAAAGTATGTGCAAGTGACAGGTGGAGGGCCATCCAGAAAGTTGTCTTCTTTCCTTTTGAAATGGGTGAAGGGAAGCTGAAAGAAGGAAGGAAACAGGAGGGAGACTACCACTTCTGGAAGTGTAAGTAAACACAGTCATCATGAGGAAGTACAGAAAACTCAAAGGTGCCACAGAAGAGGTCTTGATTTCTGCTAAGTTACCTCTTAGTCATCAGACTTGGATGGGTGGTCATAGGCACCCATGACAGTTGCTGCCCTTATCCTTACCATTCGCAACTAAACTTCTCTTCATCTTTTCCTCATCCTTTCACCGGCGTTCCAGCCACTGTGAGGGACCTTTGTGGAGGAAATCTTAGACTCAAAGAGCCTCCACAGGACTGTGTGCCTGTACCACAAATGTTTATCCTGCTATTGCTACTGCCTCTTCTGATGTGTTGTTTACCTCTGTTCATGCTACAAATCTTGTCTGGTGGAAGATGTACAACTTCACTAGCCTATAATCTCCATGTAAATAGGAGCTTCATCTCTCACTCATAGCTTAAACTCTAGTCCTCAGAACACAGTAAACATATACAAAATAAATTGGTTATATGAGTGAATGAATGCATGCCTGTGAGAATGACTGACATTTTGAAAGTATTTTGTTTTCTGGGCTGAATTAAGGAGCAGTCTTCTCAAGAAGAACAAAGCCCTTTGGCTAGGGTAAGTGTGCTTAGCCTTTCTAGAAACAGGTTACCTCCCAACTGTTCCAAGGAAATTTCTTGCTAATGCACTGGGTCAACTTGTAGTTTCCAGAGGGCATATTGCCCACAGGGACACAGGCTCTAGAGTCCTCCCTTAGAATTACTTCATGTGTCTTGCCAAAAGCATGACACACGAGTTATACTCCACAGCATCCTTCATTTTGCCCACCCCCTTCCTTCCTCAAAGCAACTCCTTATTCTGTGCATTTGACATGTTTTGATGACTTGAAAATGGCATGGAATTGTTCATTTGTTAAAGCTGCATTCCTGTAGTAAGACTGTATTTCTAACACCATGATGTGCTGGGTTACCTCTCTCTCTTGTTTGAGAGGTTGTGATGACAGTTTAGGGTGAGAAGGTAAGGACACGATAACCGCAGGACTAAAGTCTACATAGGTAGGACAGGTGAGGTCAAGAATCTGGTTTGCCTCAGGCTTTCCCAGTGAAATTAAGGATTATTGAATTATAATTAAGCCTAATCACACTCCAGGGCTGCACAGATCTCTGAGTTAGACATGGTGCCTGCCTTCTCCATGGTAACAAGGCTAAATATGGACACGTTTCCACGGAGAGCCATACTGCAGCTGCAGTCCTGCTTCCTCCAGGAAGCATCCTCTCTGGGCTTCTTTGCCCCCCTAGAAAGTGGCTGTCAGTGTTGAGGACGTATCTAATACATAAAGGCCATGTCTTTTACTTTTGAGAATTTTTGTTTCCAACAGATATTTCATTTCTCAGCACTCCTTTCTCTTGGTAATTACATGCTGGAAGAGGCCAAAGGTCAGAAAGCTGGACATGTGAACCTGATAGGCTTGATGACCATTCATAAAAGCCATTCCATCTTCTTTTTCTTCTGAGGAGTGGGGTTTTCTGTTATTAGAGCAAAGGGAATGTGATTGGCTAGTGGGAGACAGGGAGACAACTATAATGAGCCTTGGGTAAATATACTGCTCTTTCAAACTCCAAACCTATTGGAACAATTATTGCTATAGAGTTTTTGAAATGTTTTCTGAAATTTTCCATAATTTTAAAAATAATCTCATAATTACATCTACAAAGAATGTTTTAATGTGCCATTCTATAGTCATAGAATATTCAAAAGTGACAAGGTTTTATTTTTGCTTAAGGGAAAGTAAGTATACTGCCTTTTCAACTTTGAACTAGTTCACATCTCTGCATTTCTTAGCTGTCTGACAGAGCAATGTGGAATGAAACTCTGTTTTTGTTGAAAGATCAAAATATAAGCTGAGTATTAGGCTTAAAAATACCCTGTTTAATATCACTTGGCTATTTAGAGATTACATCATGTGTGTTTATAACTTAATTGCCTGTAAAATGGGTCTTTATAAGCACAGCTGATCATATGAGTGTGTTCGTGTATATTAGGAAGTATCTATAATGGGTATGTATACATAGGGAGCTGGGTTGTGCTGCCTAGTTAACTAAGCTATGGAAACTATTTTGAGACTGGAGATATCTTGTAAGGCAGTTATAAATAGCCTCTTAAGAAAAATTCTTATCGTGTGCTCTGTGTTACAGGCCACGTGGCACCAGAGCCAAGTGATGGATGACCTGCAGTCACAGAACCTCGCCATGGACATGACTGACTCCCCTCCCACTTTGGCCAGTAACAGATTGGAGAATGGTATGGCCCAGCTCATAACTACCGAGGCCTGGAACATCAACTCCACTGATCTGGTAAAGAAGGCCCTGGTGACCGTGCCGGCCCCATCCATTCTGAATCCCCCAGCTGAGTCTCAGAGTGGCATGGCTCTGAAGGTGGCAGCCACCGTGCTGCAGCCTCTGTGCCTTGGGGAAAGCCCAGTGGTGATGCCCATTCATATGCAGGTGGAGGGAAGCTCTGCACCAGAGCTCAACCCCAACGGCAACGCCACCTACGTTATGACAACACAAGGTCCTGTGCAGCTGCCAGTGGTGTTGGAGCAGCATGTTTTCCAGCACCTCAACTCCCCTCTGGTCCTGCCACAGGAGGCCCCATGCTCCTCAAATGCTATCCACAACAACCTCTTCCAGGGGGCTGAGGACTCCGAGGCCCAGCCTCAGCTCCTGGACCTGAGGATCCCAAGTCAGCCGCAGGAGCCCACATTGCCATTTGAAGCTGTGCTCCAGAATTTATTCCCCACCCAAGGCTCTCTGGGCCCTCCACCTTGCCAGCCTCCTCCTGGCTATGCTCCAGTGCCTCCCCAGCCCTTTAACTCTCCCTTGTCCCCCCTAGTCCCACCAGCTACCCTCTTGGTGCCCTACCCTGTGATTGTCCCCTTGCCAGTGCCAGTGCCCATCCCCATTCCTGTCCCAGTGCCTCAGAGTTCTGAATCCAAGTTAAGCCCCAGTTTCCCCAAGCAACCATCTTCCTTCAGCCTGCACTCCTTTAAAGGCACCCAGACCACCCTGGAAAAAGATGAACTGAAATCCTTAGACATCCTCCAGCCGAAGGAGTATTTCCAGTTCAGCCGCCACACAGTCATCAAGATGGGGAGTGAGAATGAGGCTCTGGATCTCTCCATGAAGTCAGTGCCCTGGATCAAGGCTGGCGAAGCTAGCTCCCCAATCTTCCAAGAGGATGCAGCCCTTGACCTATCTCTGGCAGCCCACCGGAAGGCTGAGGCTCCCCCAGAGACACCATATGACAGCAGCGGGTCAGCAGACAGCCAGGGTCACAATGTGCTGGAGAAACTTCCCAGTGCTATGGAAATGCCCTTTGCCCCTGCCAAGTCTCGTGAGGCCTCAGCCATGATGGATAGCCATATCAGCGGCAACAATGGCACTGAAATGGTCAGCCAGCCCAATCAGCCCAGCCACCCGGGCAGTGAGGTGAAGGCTGAAAATAACATTGAGATTGTAAGTGAATCCCAGGCAGCCAAGGTCATTGTCTCAGTTGAAGATGCTGTGCCTGCCATCTTCTGTGGCAAGATTAAAGGCCTCTCAGGGGTATCCACCAAAAACTTCTCCTTCAAAAGAGAAGACTCTGTGCTTCAGGGTTATGACATCAACAGCCAAGGAGAAGAATCCCTGGGAAATGCTGAGCCCCTTAGGAAACCCATCAAAAACCGGAGCATAAAGTTAAAGAAAGTGAACTCCCAGGAAATACACATGCTCCCAATTAAAAAACAACGGCTGGCCACCTTTTTCCCAAGAAAGTAAATAAAGGCTTTTAAAACATTTTTATGATTATGACATGGGGAAAGGTGCATTGGTTTTTTAAAAAGTCATCTAAAACAAATTATCTTTGTTAATTATTTTGGGGCATAGGTGGGAGGCAGAAAGGCAAATTAGCTAGAATCATTTTCTTTTTTAATTTTTGACTTTTCACAAATGAGTAAATGAGAGCAACCTATTTTTCAAGCAGATTGCACATTTTTTTGCAGCTTTAATGGAATATTGGGTGAATCAGAGGGGTAAAAACTATTTTCATTGCCACAAAGTGCTTTGATGATGTAATACCTAATAAAGGGTAGGATGAATATTTCACAATAAATGTTTGTTTGCACTAATTGGTTGCAGTATTTTGTCATTTGTAAAATTTACATTTCTCAACTGGCATGGCTGGCCTAAACTCTTGCTTGTAAAGAGCTCTAATTTATTACTGTTTAGAGACCTAAGCTCTTCAGGCATGTTGGGAAATATTGCCTTGTGCCCCAGAGAAGTGGGATTCAGAGCGCATATGGCCTCTAGTGAGTCACCTTTTCCTCTGGGCCTTTTTTGTGGCAAAGGAGTCAGGAGGAAGCAGAGGTGAGTTTCAAGTACTCAGGCCTCTTTCAGTTCACTTAGTTTTTGCATTTTCTTCTAGGACTTCCAACATGCTAAAAACAAATGGCTGTAAAACAAAAACAAAAGGTGCCTTTGCTTGGCATAGTGGCTGGTCCATGCCTGTAGTCATACCACTCTGGAGGCTGAGGCTAGAAGGTTGTAAGCTAAAAGCCATCCTGGTCTTCATAGCAGAAACCTGCTCCACCCCTACCCCCAATTAAAAAAAAAAAGTACCCTGCTTCTCTCCCAGGACCTCAGAGTTTAACTGGAAATGACTACCCTTTGGCAAGGCAATAAGAGCATTGTTCTTAATGATTTGAAAATCTTGTGAGTCAAGTGTTGCAGGACACTCAGAATCAGGAAAGTCAACTTCATATGAATTTAGACCACAAGAAAGAGAAAGTCAGTCTTTGTTGGATTAGCTCAGTCATTCTCAAATGAGGGTGACTGTGTACCTCCCCCCAGATGACCACTTCCACCAGGGGATGTCTAGCAATGTCTGGCAATGCTTAAGGATGGTTTTGGCTGTTACAACTGGGGGAAGGGCTTCCTACGATCATCTGGGAGGTAGACCAGGGACACTGCTACTGCCGAACATCTTGTGATGCACAAGATAGCCCCCACCCCCAACAAAGAATGACCTGAGCCACAATGACAGCCATGCTGAGGCTGCGAAACCCTGGCTAAGCCACTTCTTGATGGATGGAAGCAATGCACTTGGAAGGAGAGAACAGTGTGTTGCTCTTCTGTGACAACATAAAGCCACGCACACAAATGAGGAACTGTGAGCAAGTGTCTAAAATAGACCTGCTAGGTGGCAGATCGCACTTGTGTCTGAAACTGTGCTGGCGAGAGACTGATCAGAGCATGCCTGCTTTAAAACTTAAAGCACTCTCTTTCATTTTTTGCAATTAGTATGTATCCAGCTGTTACTGTGAACGTGAACAGGAGGAAAAGCAGTTGTAAGACTGTTCTTTTATTACCGGTCCCACTGTGAATAGGGTTACAGTTTTAGCTGGTCCTGTATCATACAACCTGAGTGGATTTTTCTCTTTCCTGCACTTTTGCTGTGCTCTAAGCATTTCTTTTTGCAAAGTGTGACCAAATAATTGGTCAACTGACTGGCCAGTCTCATTCTACATCAGCTAGATACCACCTCTTCAGGCTCTACATGGTATAGTCTTTTCCCGTTTTTTTTTCTTCCAGTGAGAATTTCTGGCCATGTTTCCTAAGCACAGAATGCATTATAGCTTCAAATCAAATAGACATGTGCCTAGAGAATAGTGCTTCCCATTTGCTTGCTATTGTTTCTCCCTAGGCTTTGGGTAGTTTCTGTTGCCATGTAGCATGGCATAGACTTTCTCTTCTAACTATGAGAGCCCATATATTCACAATGGATTTAGACTGGTTATCTAGATTTGGGGAACAAAGCTTACAATTTGCTGTTAGAAGCAAGTCCTCAAAGCACAAGTGGTAAAGAAGGCATTTGTAGACTGCAATTACCTTAAGAACCTCAAACCACAAATTTCTCTTGGTTGTAAGGGGATTCCTTCTGTCTTCAGATGAAAAGCTCTGCTTTGGTGAGGAAGAGCAAATCCACCTTTAGGTTTTGAGACAATGGGAGGCCTGGTTCTATTCCTCATACCTGGCATGTGATCCTTGCTATTCATTTCTAGAGGGAGGTGGGGGAAGTGTGTATTGTTGTGGGTGCTTGTGGTAGCACTGGAAGACTTGACCATTGAGATCCATATTCAGAGTATTTATTGTGCTGTGCTACTGAGGCAGAAACATTCACTGTCTGCTTTTCTTCCTAGCCTTTGATGAAATCTATTTTGTTACCTGCTGGCCAGGGAATCAGGAAAAAGGACAGGGCCCATGTTTGCGGCCAGACTAAGCCCAATAGAGTTAATTCAGAATCCCTTCCCAAGTCAGAAGTTAGCAAATTTTCGCATCAACCTTCAGGGCCTTGAACTCTGGGTCCTTGTTTGAGGAATCTGATCCCCACAGGGCTCACCAAGTGGGGCACCAACAAAGGCTCCAGCCACATTTTTCTGCTCAATTCAGTCCTATATCCAGTCTTGTGTGTGCCCATCACTACTGTAGTCAGGTAACCTGCTTTCAGGTTTCAGTCAGGGAAGATTTCCATCAGCTTTCCCTACTGACTTCATTTTCCATCTCTTCTCACAAATATTTTGGGCCAACTAGCAGAAAGATCAGCATTTTAATTTGTAAAAAAGATCATTATTAGTCCTTGGGAATGTTGATATTTGCTAATACTTGTCAAGGTGGCTTCAGCTGGCTTCAGTTCAGAAATGATTTTTAAAAAGGAAGATCACAAAGGTCATATTTGGGGCCAGAAATCCCCCTGTAGGGCAAAACATAATTGATCCAAAGGAAAAGAAGGATTAAATTTTGAAGAGGTTATACTTACTGTCTCACCAAAGGAAGGCCTTGCCAATAAACAGAAAATTCTAAAATGTCATCAAAAAGTTTTGTTAAGACTTAAAGGCAAAACTATCACAATTTAAGCATGAAAATAAGTCTTCAGTGCTGAAACTCCAAACCAAAAAGAGGAAAGAGACAGAAAGGAAAGTAGGAGCAAAGGAGGGAAGGAGCTAAGAAGATGAAAGGGGAAGAGAGACTGTTGCTGAGAGAATATGTCAATATCCTCATTCTCTTCATAAACAGCATAATTAATAAAACAGCAGTAAATTATTTAGATTCCATTTTACAAGGGAGGAAATAGAGGCTGAGTCGAGTTTTCTGCTTTCAGTTTTGAAGCATCAACAACTCAAAAATATGTACTTTGGGGTTATTCTTAAATATTGGGTCTTAAACCCAATGAACCCACAGGAATTTGGACTCTTTGGAGACAGAACCCAGTATGAATTAGTGATGATTCTGAATTACAGATTCTTTTTCAATCATTCTAGAGACTATTCCAGCAAACTGGAATGCTTGGAGCACTTGGCACAATAGCTAAGGGGAGACTCCAAGCTGAAGGGTGGAGATGCCAAGCCTCTAAAAGCCACACTTAAAAGTTGCTAAACTGAAAACTTTAACAGCAGGAAAAAAGTGTTAGAAGTCATTCTGGCAGACTTTACTCCTCATTAAATGGAAAAGGCAGTTTTCCACAATGCTCACTTCCACCAGGTCAAATAACTGACCTCCCACATCAGTGAGACAAAGCAGGGCATATTGGAAGCCCTTAGGGTACAATCCCAATAAATCCATCATTTATTTAATTAACATATTGGTGGATTTGATACTGGGTAGAGCATGTGAATGCTTGAAAGTCTTAAACATTGCAAATAATCCACCTGCCATTGTTATAGACCCAGAGATTTCTAAGCTCAGTGAGATATTAGTTCCGTGCTGCTAGGATTATGAGTGATTGCAAGTTAAAGATGAACTACTGAGGATTACCATGCTAATTTAACATGTAGGCTATTTCTCACTCAGTTCTATCCTATATGATATGTACATGCAGACAAAACTAGGCTCCCTCTACTGACAAAGATAGTGAATGTCACTTGGAAAACAGTCCCTTCTCTGCTGAATACTTTTCAAAGCTGAGATTTACTAGGCCAATCAATTAATAAGAAAGTGACATATCCTTAGCACCTTAATAACATATGGGGTTTTCTTTATGGTCACTTTGAATAAAACCTTTGACTTTTCTCTCGGACACATTTCAAGGAATATGAAAAGGTACCACAGTGGGCAGACTGAAGGACTGATGTCCTAGTGAGCAGGAACTGAGGCTTATTTCAAGGTTCTGTTGTTGAAGAGGCAGAAGTGTTTCAGTAGTGTTTTTACCTCATCCCACAAGATGACAAAAAGCTCTCTAGATGTTGCCAAGTCACCCCCAATCTAGAACCTCTGCTTTTTTCTAGAGACTGACATCTGAGCCATAGTGAAAAGCTCAAAACACCCTTACTGAATGAGTGTACTCAACCAATCAGGAAGATGGATATGGAGCTGTGTTCTCTGATGTACCACTCTTATTTTCTGGTTTCCCACCATAAGGCTCATCTAAACAGGAAAAGATTCCATGGTACAACTGTTTCCCTACCCAAAGTGGTGTCACTCACCCACCATACTATAAATGAAGCTTCTCCCCAGCAAAGAAACCTCGACAGGGATACTCCACTTGACAGGAAGAGCAGACTCGGGCAATCCTCATGGGAAGCCTTACTATTTTACTCACCCCTTGAGCCACCCATTTTTCAAAACTCACCCTGTGTTTTCATCAGTCTTATTCCCAATGACACTGTGACCCCGGAACTCACAAATATTGCTGGGAAGTGTTTTGTTTGTTTTAATTTCCCTGTCTTTTACCTAAGTCCTTTTTGCTGCAATCGAACCCAGTGGTTTGTCTTTAGTGGAAACAAATGCCAACCACTCCCTTTTTGTAGATTTTTAAGCACCAGATAGTTTTGTAGACTCTTTCTCTTAGATATAAGAATCCCATGCCCTCTCCTTCCCTTAGAGTTCCAAACTCATAATATAATCGAGATTGGCATTACCCAATTCCTCTAACTAACTTTGTAGTCAAGAACTCCAGGTAGGTGATGAAATGTTCTGAAGTCGATTGTGGTGATGGTTGTACAACTATGTGAAAATACTTTAAAAATCTTTGAATTGTATACTTTTAAATGGGTAAAATGTATGGTATATGAATTATATCTCAATAAAATTATCATTTAAAATCAATAAAAGAACACCAGACAGAAATCTGAAA